ATCTTAACTATCAACCGAAGAGCATCCTATACTCACCTAAAATGGTGCAGTTCCCTCTTCTTGCCTTCAAACTCCATCATCTTTCTCTTCCTTCTCTTCTTCTATTCTCTACTCTGGGAGAAGGCCCCTTGTGCTCTCTCTTCTGTCCTCCCCTGCCCCTCAACATTTCCTCCCCTGCTCAGTTGCCTTCTCTCTCTCCCTGCAAATAGGCTCATGTGTCTGTAATTCTAAAAACCCTCCTCACGTGCCTCTACTTACTTTCCTATCTCAACATGTCTAGAATAGTCCCAGCTGTTAACTCCAGGTACTCACCGACCGCCCGCTTCCTCATCCCACGTGACCTGGTTTTTACTACCACAATTTCACCTCAACACCACCCACCAGATTTAGCTGGGAATCCCCACGGCTTTTGCTATTTAATGACTAGCTTCCATCCTGAACGTTTTCTGTGGATCTCAAACATGCCAGTCTCCTGGGGCGCACGCTCCTCAGACCGCCCCTCACCCCCTGGCCTGTGTCCCTCCTGCCTCTGTCCCCACACATAGGTACGGTCCCCGAGGGTTAGTCCGTAGCCAGCTTTAATCCTGTCCTTTCCCTTGTCACCGCCACGCGGATCACAGGCCACCGCTCACCTCCTTTAAACTCTAGACCTCTTTCTCAATGATCTGCTGGAGACGCATCCGCATTTTAAGAGTTTATCCCAGCAGAACTCAACACTTCCCCTCCCACGTGCCTCCTAAACAAATTCCACCCATTCCAACAGATACCGTGTGCCTGTTCACCAAGGTCCAAGGGCTCAGTTTCACCTTCAAGCCTTTCCTCCCGCTCAAGCCCACGTGCGAGTAACTACCAAGTCCTACAGGTGGACCATGTGTAACGTTTCCCACGCTGACCCTTCTCCGCATTCCCACTAACCTCTGAGCTGGCTCAGATCCTTGGTAGCTCTGGCTTTCTTTCTCTAAGTCTGCCATTTTAATCCCCCACAGTCCCCTCCACATACCTCTGATCTCATCCACCTGGGGGGCTTTGAGGACAAAGCGATGCCAGAGCCCCACCCCAGAGGTCCTGCCGGAGCAGCTGGGCAGGGGCCTAGGCGCCGGCATGTGGCGCAGTGGCTCTGCGCTCTGGGGGGTCTCCTGCCCAGCGGCAGTGGAAGCCCACGGCTAACCATCGGAACTCGGCTTTCCCGGACGCACACCGTGTTTTCTTACATCGAATTCATTTGGCTTGTTTTCTCTGATGTCCTTCTATGGCGCTTCTGTCTCTGCCTTGGGCGGCCATGAGTCCATGGTACATGAACAAATTTGTTCAACTTTATAACATAGATTAACCAAAACTTTCCTTCAAACCATCCCCAACAGCCTCCTTCCAGCCATTCACCGCATGTCCATAGACAGCAAGTAGGTTTCTGTGCAGTTTATTTTATTACCAAGCCCCTGACTTCGGGTAGGTAACTCCCCTGCACCTGGCTCTCTCATCGCTCAGTCACAGATGAATTACAAGACCGTTGGGTTTCTTTCTAGCACTGCAAGTATGATTCTACGACTGTGTTATCAAAAGAAACTCTTGGACTACTGGTGAATGATGGAGGCTTCTAGTATATTCCCCCAAATTACCCAGTTCTGGATTCTCTGACACCTTTCGCAGTTGGGATTCATACCACATCTACTGGCCTGCCTGAGAGAAAACACCAATCTTTTGAACAGGACAAAAGAGAACGTTCAGAACTGCTCTTCAGTGACTGACGGCACTGCCACCAGAACGGCGGGTGAAGAACTACCACATGCACGCTTACATCTAGGTGCTCACGCTTCACCCACGGATTAAACCGAGGTGCTCCTAGAAGCCTGGCCGGAGGAGGCGCGCGCTGTTTTCACACGAAGCTGCTGACTTAACATGCACAGAATGAAAAAATAATTGGGCAACGAAGTCATTGGCTACTTATTGCCAACAGCTAAGTGCAAATCACATATGCAGAAAAGCACCCCGTTTCCTAAGTTATGCTCAAACACATTCATGATGAAGGGAGAGCCCCTGGTAAGAGAGTGAGGTGGTAAAGGCCGAATGGGCAGCGCGGGGCGCGGGGCTTGCTGACCCCTGGGCAGGCCCCTGCTCGGCCCTGGGCCTCACTGCAGGCCCCAGGCGTCGCTGCAGGCCGCCCGCGCCAGCCCGGCCGGGGTTTCTACATCCTCACAATGATAACACGGCCCTAAGAAGGCCTCTCAACTGCCTGATAAAATCGCCCAAGAATACGGAATACAGTACCAAGCTCCTCTCCGGAGAGTCTTCCGACAGAGCCCGAGCTGTGACAGACATCTGAAACGCTCACCTCTCTAACCTATGCGTTTGCACATGTAGCTGAGAAACATTAAGCAAGACAGATCCTGCGATCCAGTTCTAGCTCTAGAATTCTTCTGCGTATAGAATAATGTAGCAACATGGCTTGGTAGCCTGAGAACATATGAGAAGAACCAATAACTTGTCAATTAAGTACATTGCTATTTTGATTATATCTGAACAGTGAAAAAATGGAAAAAAACAGTCCTCCACCTGTTTTGAATATATTTCAAGATATTCAAAGATTCCAAACTCTCTTGCAATTAAAACAATCTATATGGTATAGTTTTAGATGAGAACTGTCTGTATTTCAATGTTTCAACAAGGCATTTGTTTTCGTGTTTTGTTTTGTTTTGTTTTTGCTAAAGAGCTATGCATAAGAACTCCCATGAAATGTAATCCTATTAAAAATAAAAGATTTAGGAAGATGAGACAATTTCAACAATTAAATCCATCTTCTAAAAATGAGTCCTCTGAGCCGGTTCCAATATCAATTTCAGGGTAAAAACACAATTAGTTTTTAACTTCCTTCCTTTCACTTTAAAGGCCATTGTTTTGACTTTTACTTTTTCTTAGCCACAACTAGAATGCTCGATGGTGTGGATTTTGAAAACCAGGGAATAACCGTCACAGGCTCCGCTCTCAGGATTCACCTTTGGATTCACGGGAAAGGGAGCATTGCCTGCCCTCATGTTTCCTTTCTCCGCCAGGTTACACTTGACACTCTCTGTTGACAGGAAACTACTCAATGATAGCGATCCAGTACCGGTTTTATTCACAATTAAATTCTCTAAATAAAACTCCCTTGAAACCAAAAAAAAAAAAAGAAAGAAAGAAAAAAATTGTCAATCCAAAAAATAGGCGGGAAAGAAACTAACAAAAAGGTCCCTTCTGCGGGGTCGCAGTAGAGGAGGAGGAAGACGGGTGCGGGACAGGGAGGCGGGCCCCTCCCGCTGGTGTGCTTTTTCGTTCAGAGGTCAAATCCACGGCAAGTGGCGGGGTGGGAAATATCAGCTTTGTGGATACCTTCAGAGTCTCACGGTCAAAAGCGCTTAGGACGCACCCAAATATTTTTTTCCTTCTAGGTGTAAAGCATCACAAGGGAGGAAGTTTCTAATTCCAGCGTTTTTACTGTGCCCCCGACAAGCCTGACAAGTCCGCGCCTCTGTCTACTCCAAGGGTGGGCGGGCACTGCGCAGAGCCGGGCCGCGGCCGCATCTCAGTCCTGCGTCTCAGTCCCGCGGCTGGGCTGCGCCCGAACCTAGCCCCGATGTCAAAGGTGCCAGCGGGCCCGTGCTCGTGGAAGTTACACGTTTCTTTCCACGAGAACTACAGCTTCTCAATCTGGCGGTCAGAACTACAGACAGTGCTTCCTCCAGCGCCTAATCACACCAAGGGTCTGAAGAGCAACAGAACAAAAAAATACAGGATTTGGAAGGAGTCTGTATTTGAAACCCTTCGTTCATTAAGGAGTCAAATCTCAACGAAACGCTCAGTATGAAGGAGCTGGTGATAACATCGCATAGCTTAAGTAGGAGAGGAAGTCAGTTCACATTTTGAAATACTAGATGATGAAGCAGCCTCTAAAACACAAGCATCCATATGCTTTCAGAGACTAGAGAAACAGTCTGATCACATGCCACAATGCTGATAGGCTTGGTGGCTCGATGGCACAGCACTAAAACAAGCTGCTGTCACGCAGGCCTTGTGTGATTAAAACAAAACCACGGCCTACTTATGAAGAACGATACTTCCAAAACTAGGAGCCAAATCATCTGAGAGATACCAATCAAAACACAACAGCTGGACAGGAGTCGTGAGAGCCTAAATCCTGAGTTCAAACTACGTCAACACGTTGTTCTCCAATGCAGATCACTGTTCAGTGGGACGCGCCACTTAGGCACAGCTGGTGGGTGACACCGAGTCTGAGGATTCACTTGAGCAGAATTTTATCAGGCCCAGAGATACAAGCTATGCATTGGTTTCAGCAAACTGAAAAATAAAAATAGCTTACTTCTCCTATATAAAGTTTCAGGCCCCCAGATTCCTTATCCCACAGGACAGAACGAAAAATAATTTGAGTAGGCAGCCTTAGAGACTCCCTAAAGGAAATGAAAAGGAAGCAATGCTTTAAAAAAAAAAACACAAACCACTAGGTAGGGATGTTTTTGAAAATAGGAATGTTGTTAAAACAGTTCTCTGATAATGTGAACTATTCCCTTGGTGTACTGGAACTCCTAGAAGCCTGCTACAGAACTAAATGCTTTTAAGTTTTGCTGATGAAGACTAATTTCTGATTCACCCAAGCGAGTTAAGATAAATATTTTTATAAACTTCTAGATATGTCCCATTCCAAGAAACTATGACACACAAAACCTCTTGCTTACAAAACAGCCACAGTGGGAGTGATTGTTTATACTGATCCCAAAACATTTTCACTTTATGGTGATTCGCTCAGGAATTTGTTGGAACAGAATTAGGATCACAAATTTGCTTCATGCATTTTCCAGGAAACAAGCAGTTCAAAGTCCGAGCCCACCTGCGTCCAGGCTGGGTCTGTGAACGGAAAGAAAGTAAATGGGTGTGTGTGAAGAAAGAACCAAAGGAAATGACCAGGATCCCCCCAACAGTCCAGGCCACCAAATGAAGAAACCAAGAGGCAGTGTCATTAATTAATATATTTCTGCGTTGCAGTTGACATAGGCACTTTCTTCGTGCCGCCTTATTTTCCGTTATGTATTGATATTTTGTTATATTCAGACATGAGTACATTTCAACAGTCTTTTGAAATAAATATCATAAAATAATAGAGATTCGCATAATAAATATTCTTTACAATAAAAAAGTTTAACAGACTTTTGTCTTAAAAATAGTCAGAATTCAACTTTGTGATTTATACATAAAATATACAAAAAGCACCACAATTTGTGGTTAAGGCCATGAAAACACAGAAGGGGTTAGGCGCACTCAGCTGTTGGCTAACCAGGGCCCAGGGCCCAGGGCCCGCGGAGGGGCCAGACGGCTGCAGGCGGCCGGCTTCTCTGACACCTGCGGACTGGTCGCCACAAACAGGAACTTCAGGAACCCAGGTGCCCGCAACAACAAGAGAAGTTTGGTGAATTGAAAAGTGTGCGCTGTGGAAGGAAGGCAGCTGAGTCCTTCACAAACATGAAAGCTAGAATAAGGATCAGCAAGACACAATATATCTCCAATGTGAAGATTTACATTGTGGAGCGGCTCTAACATGACGTACAAAACTGTAACAACAACAACAACAACAACAATAATAATAATACCTGGCATCTGTAGAAGATAATGCCGAAACTAAGAGGCGGGAACTCTGAGGGGCGAGAAGGCAGTGGTTAAAGGGAAATTTGTATGTTATAACAAAAATATAGCCCCCGTGCTACTTAAGGGCCCAACACTAGGAAGACAGCCCTACCTGGAGAGACTGAATACATAGCTTATTTAAGCAATGAAACGGCTACTTCTTTAAAAGCCGATCTGCCTGCTCCCAGAGCAGCCCCATGAAAAAGAGCTCTCAATCTCTGACGCCTGGGCACGTGTGGGACGTGGGTGTGGACGACTGGGGCAAGTCGTTGGCAGAACCAAAAGGCTCCATGAGACCCAGCCAGGGACTCCTGACAGGCTCCGGAGGGCGCGGCAGAGACTCCTATCCCGGGGGGAGCCCGGTGCCACCCCCTAGTCCCCTCTCACGGACTGTCCGAGGAGGGCGGGCGGCCCCCACCAGCCGCGCCTCGGGAGCAGGGGCAGAGAAGGCAGGAAACGCAACCGGGGCGAAGAAAGGGAAGCTAGTGTCTAACAGCATCTCCTCCAACGGCCACGCCCTGGAAGTCGGGTGCCCGGGAGGCCCGCCGCCTCCGGCATCAGGAGGGCTTGCCCCGCGCCCGGGAGGAGCAGCTCTCCGGCTTACAGTAGACAGTGTTGGAGTTCTTGCACCTGCACCCCGGGCGGCGGGCCCAGTCGTAGCAGCCCCTGCACAGCTTCAGGCCCGCCTTGGCAGGCGGGTAGCAGAGCAGGCAGGGCAGGAACAGGGACAGGGCCCCCATGCACAGGTACCGGGGGCAACAGTGGGCCTGCGAGCAGGAGCAAGGGCTGTCCGAGTAGGAGTCGCCCTCGTCGTCGTTGGAGCAGTGGTAGAAGATGCCCTTGACCAGGCACATGCAGGTGCCGTACTCCACCATGCTCTCCGCGGAGCAGAGGCACTGCCGGTCACAGGCCAGGCAGGACGGCAGGGCCCGGGGAGCCGTGCACTCGCCGCACTTGCACTTCCCGCACCGCTCGCAGATGAACTTGTGCTGGGCCAGGTCCTCTTTCAAGGAGCCCTTCAGGTCGTCCACAAGCAGCTGCTTGGGCTGGGTCCGCACTGCCCTTTCAGAGCGATGAGCAGGAACAGGTCTGGCTGGTGGGGACCTTCCCAGCAGGCCCTGCTCCGAAGACGCGCTGCTGTTGCTCCCAGAGCTGGCGGCGCTCCCAGTGCTGGTCGATCTGCTCAGAACAGGGCCTCGGGCGAGATGGGAGAGGCCTGTGTGCCCCGCGTGGCCTGCTGGCCTCTGCTCGTAGTTGTTGTTCACATTGATTGGTATGATTTCATGAGTCCTCTCCTGCTTTTCTTGTCTGGGAGCCGCTCGAGGAGCAGGTCTTTTCACCACCGACGGCCCTTCCGTGTATTCATTGCTGCCTCTGATGGCCTTGATCTGGTCCAGGGACAAAATAGCAGCAGGCGGAATCTCTCTGTCGCAGTCCAGTCTCGGCCGGCTGGCCAGGGCGGGCTGCTGGGTCACAATCAACGAGCTGCCACTGCCCTGCTGGTTTGGGGGATCCATGTGTGGTGGCCTTGGACGCTGGCAATCAGCGGGAACCTGGCAAGCATCTGAAACCCTAAAAGGGAATCAGACATGAGAAAAACAGAGAAAGAGAAAATAAATGACAGGAAGTATTTGGGGGAGAGGAAGACAACCCCTGTCAAGTCGCAAATTGCCTGGAGCACCTGGTAATGATCACCTTCACCAGCAGATGACAGAGATGCTGGGGTCCTGGCCGGAGGCCAGCCCGAGAGAGGCCGAGGGCCGTATCATGGGAGAAGAATGTGAGACGCAGGCAAGAGCTCCCACGCCACAAAAATCAGGCCACTCAACTTCTAAAACGCAGAGTGCAGGTGGCGCGGTGCCTTCCCGCCAGCAGGTCTAACAAACAGTTAAAATGGAGTTCGCCCGTGTGGGGACACGGGGCACGGCCAGGGAGGAGGACGCCCAGGGTCGTTCCACCGGTTCCCCAGAGGGGAAAGTGTCCACTGAAAACCGGCCTGGGTGCTGCTGCGTCTGTGTCATCTGTTTGCTGTTACAAGCATCCGATTAATGATGAGGAAATCGGCCAGCACATACTTCACCCACTAAAAAGGAGACTCCAAACGAAAACGGAGTCTCAAAATGAGAAGTCATTTTCTGGAGCAACCAGAATTTTCAAGTTAGCTCATTATTAACGTACAACCTGCAAATGAATATAGACGAACGCAGGAGTTCCTGGTGTTTATAGCCACAAAAGTGCGCGCGTGCACACACAACTCAATTTACAGCTCTGCTCAGGTGAAAGAGTATCCACATTTGAAATAACGAAAAGAATTTTTTTAAAGATTAGGTAAGGGCTCCCTCATATAACAAGATAATTTTTCATGCATAAATAAGTGTCAGGCCTTTCAAGCAGTCCGAGGAAATCCTGGCCATGTTAATTACCTGTATTTCCTCTCATTTAAAGACCTGTATTTACATGACAGAGCCTGATTTTCAAAAGCACTGCCAACTCTGAATCAATGCGCTGCTTGTAATAAAATATGCACACTGATAAAAAAAATCTGATAAAAATGAGTAACTGCGTTTCCTTACCAATAGTAAGTTATTTCTCATTTATAATGCATTCTTAAAAAGACAAACTACCAAACATAAAAACGTCCCTGTTTTCAGTCAGTTGTGAACTAGAATATTTTACACACAAATTCCTTCCAAAGGCTATAAATTCGACCTCATTCAAGAACGAAAAGAAAAATGCCCATTCTCCGCTGCCACCTTGAGCCAGAAAACACCAGCTTAAGGAATAAAGCAGAAAGAAGCCCCATCACCTAACTCTGGAGTGAAGGGCCTCAGGCTGTCCTATATCCTAACTTCTGGGCCTTCCCTCCCTCATTCTCCCCACGCGGAGCTCGCAAGGTTCTGCTTGATTCGCCCTGCTCTGTACCTGGGACCCACTTGGTCCCAAAACGCTGGGCTCAGCCCTGCAGCGCTCGAGGGCCGGGCTTCCGCAGCAGAGTGTGGGGAAGGACTGAGGCAGAGTCCCCTCGGAAGGAATCGCGCTGGAGGAGGGTTTGAAGAGCATAAAGAAAACCCCAGGCGCGGCTGTAAGCTGCCTTTCCACTGACTGCGGTCCCCAAGTTCCTGCCGGCTGGAAGGTCGATCAGCAGATAAAGAGAAAGTGAGCCGCTTCTGGCTTCTGGTCTGAAGCAAAGCCCCTTGGGCAGCAGGGACCGTCCCCGAGCCACCCCACACCACGCTCACACGCTCTGGGCACACGGTTCGCCCCGAGAAAACACGGTCCAAGTCGATACCTTCTCGGACAAGCCCCTCACATCCTAAGGATCGCCGTGGATTCTCCAAAATCTGTTTGTGTCCCCACCGAAGTGGCTCACAGGTCCCGGGCCGGCGCGCGGCACGGACGGTAAGCAGCGCCCGATTGCACCTGGGCGCGCAGCGGCCTCCCAGGGCCGGGGACGAAGGTGCGGGGCCGGGGCCGCACCGCTGCGCTGCCACAGCGCGGGGCCTGCAGGGGAGCGCGCCCTCTGCGCTCCGAGCCCAGAGCGCTGAATAAATAGTTGACGGAGAGGAAGGAAAAGGAAAAAGTTATGAATGAAAACAAGTTCTCTCCCCCGCTCCAGCGGGCTGGGGGCGGAGGCGGAGGTGTCCATGACTCGGAGGGCGGGCTGCCCTTTAAAGGGGCCGTGCCCTCCCCGCCGCTCCGCACTGGCACAACGTGGGGCTCGGGGCGGCGGGCTGGTTCTGTCTCGGGGTTGATGCGACTCCTGGGGTAGGTCTCCCAGCGCGCGCGCGCGTACACAAGCGCGCGCACATGAGCGTGCACACCCCCCCCCGCCAAGCGCGCTCCGGGCCCTGCCCGGTGTCCGGTGGCAGAGACCCCGCCACAGAAAAGCCCAGCGCCGGCACAAGTAAAGAAGCTCCTGGCCCTCCAGGGAGTAGCCCAAAAGCCTCCTCGAATCCACCTTTCGAATGGAGCTGTTCCCCAAAAGGACGCCGGGGCCACGGCCTCGCCTCTGCAGGAAACTGGGAACCGAGACCCTGCCTCGCTGTCCTCCGCCCGCACCTGCCACCCGCCCGCTCCACACTCACCTAGGCCGCGGCGGTGGCGGGGGGCCCAGGTCCCGGTGCGGGCGGCGGGCCGGCGCCGCATCAAGCGCGGCGGGGCGGGCGAGGGGGCATGGCCCGCACCGCCGCCGGGCTGCAGCGCTCCCCGCGGCCCCCTTCCGGCCGCGGAGCTCACGGCTCCGGCGCGGACCGCTCACAGCTCGCCTTGGCCGCGCGGCTCAGCAGCATCCACCTCTGGGCTCTTCTCCGGCAGCCCGTCCAAGAACCGGAGCGCACTCCCTTCGGGGGCTCTGAGTCCCTCTGGAGCGGCTGGGGAGCGGCGGCGAGGACTGTGCGCGCCGCGCGCGGACTAGAGGGCTTCTCGGTGCCGATCGCTCCTCCCGCTAAAGGCAGTGGTGGCGACGGGCGAAGATCTGCGTCCCGGACGTCCGAGCCTCCGCGGCCCGGGACGAGTTTCGAACCGGCGTCTACAGCGGGACCCAGGAGCGCACGCCCGCGAGGCCGAGGCCGCCGCTCCCCGGGGGTGGGAGCGGGCCTTTTACCCGCTCTTTAAGGGGGGCGGTGAAGGGAGCGAGGTTGGGGGGCTCTCGGGAGAGGAGGCGGGGCGTCGTCCGGCCCCGCGCAGGTCCAGGCGCTGTCCCGATCCTCGCTCTGCGCAAGTGGGGCGCCGCGTCCCGGGCGCTCGGGTCCTGGCAGGTCAGCCTCGCAGGCCAGCGCTCGCTCCCGGTCCTCCGACGCTCCGGTTCCTCGGCCGCGGTGCCTGCTGCAGGGGATTGGAGATAAAAACACATTAATCCCCCTCTTTCCAGGCGCCGGGACGCGGGGCGGGCCGCCCGCCGCCCGCTGCCATGTGCAGGCTGTTGGTGCTGGCTGTGATTGACAGGCCGGCGCAGTCGGCGTGTCAGCAGCGAACCAAAGTAACATGCAGTCCTGCACGTTTTTTGCCGAAGTGCCTTTGCCCCTTTGGAATGCCTAGGAGTTCAAACAGCGTTCAAGCAACGCCTCTGCGCATTGGAAATCAATACGCAGGGACGGGAAATTCAGGTTTTAAACAATTGCTTCGCCAACAATGCCTAAACAAACACGCACTGGGTCCACACGCCGAGTGCCAGCCCCTCTTCCGCACAAACCATCCAGTTTGTCACACAGCCGACCGTTTCAGACTTTAAACTTGTTACTGCTCGGATAAGTGGGAAAATAATCAAAGGGGCCCTGTGGGTTGTTGTTTTTTTTCTTTTTCCTCCAGCGATCGCATTTTGCTTTAAGAGCACTGGTTTTAGCAGTGGGAAGGCTACTGGTAATTTGACTTGCAGCAACCAGATCTAAAACGAGTTCGAAGAAACACTCAGTTCCTTGTAAAAGCCAGCATTTCTCACCTAATCTTTCCTAAAACGTCTACGGAAGGAAAGGAAGGAAACGGCTCTTACCTAACGCAAAGGTTGGAAATTGCTTTTCAGGCACATTTACAGCGGCCGTAGCTGTGCCTTCTCCGGGGCAGGGCGCTCTCTGCTCTCCCTCTGCACACCGCCGCCTGCCTCGCAGAGCGCTCCCACTCCAGCTCCGCACAATTTCAGCAACTGGCCTCCACCTCCACCTCCGCTCCGGGACACGCCTCCCGTGATATCATGTGTCAATCACATGGGCTGCCCGAAAACCTGGAACAGGATTTCCCCCACAGTCGTTTCCTCCTGCGTTGTGCGTGCACCGACTTGGAAACGCTGCCCTGGAGACTCGCGTAATAAACATCCTCTCCAAGGACGCCTCTGGAGATGCTGCAAACGCAGCGGCCGTAAAGGAAACCTTCACACTCAGGCACTTCACTTACCGATCTCTTAAAAGGGTATGGACCCCACCCTTAGAGCTGAGTTAGAAAGTAATTTTGAAGAATAAAAGATTTTTAAAAGTTGTACGTGAAGCCATCACTTCTGATCAGCTAGAGAGAAAATGCATATTGATATAAAAAAGATAACAGTGTTACAGTTCCTATTTAAAGCACAGTTCAGGATATATAAAGTCTGAAAGTTCAGAGGGTGGACTCCCTACTGCAAATGCGTACAACTATGTGTCACAGAGGTGAAATTTCCTGCTGTCGATTTCATACTATTTGCTTCATCTCGATTTGTGATATAATTTCCCCAAAATCAATCAAATTTTTAAAATTCCAAATGCCTTCAATTTTGTAATATATTTATATACTTTTGCAAAGAAAAAAGTCCAATCCATTTATTGTTTTAATCAGCTAAATGGTAACCAATTAAAATGGAAATAATATACCAAGAAGTTTTATAATTCTTACTGATATATGACATGTCATTAAAAAAAATCACTTTAATTAATAGGAAACTTACTTTTTGTTTCCTTTGAAACTATTGGATTTTAGATATTTGTTATACAAACCATGTACTTAATGCTGCAGTGAGGACAACTATATACGAAATGTAAGGTTCTGCAGGGACTTTTAAAAGACACTTAAAAACCAAAAACACATAGTAAGTGGAAAGGAAATATTTTTTCCAGGCACCACATGTAAGAAGTAGCTTAAACTTTTTAGGAAAACAAAGCCAACAAAATAAAACTCCAGAATTAAATCCTATATAAATTTGAGTATCGACATTTCAGTTCAAAATAATTTTTAAAACTCCTTAACATGGTGAGTAATTCTGTTGGAACTGTTTTTTTTTCCCCCTATGCTAGACTTACAAATGTTTGTGCATTGAAGGTGCGTTTGAAATTACCCCTGAGGAACCCCAGGCTCCACTAAGGCCTCCAGCAACAAGAAATCATCGCTAGAAAGCAACAGAAACCAAGGATTGAGCCAAGAAGCGGCATATTCACTCTGTTAAAAACTGTAGTGAAACCAGCTGTCCGAAAGGGTAAAGTCAACTTTATTTTATGTATTTTCTATTTTTTTCATAGACCTCATTCTACTGGGAGATATAATGAACTTTAATGAGGGCGAGGGTTCTTGACCATTACGAATTGATTGGTAACAGTCAAATCAGAACTGGAGTATCACCTCAGGGCAGCTTATGTGGTGGCTCTTTAAAGCTGTCTCCCCAGCCATCAGCACAAACCTGGCTACGACATCTGTTCACCAATATGATAAAACCAGGAGAGGGAGCACCGAGCACCGTACTTCCACAAATCCCACAAAAATACATTAGAAAGATGTCTATTGCAAAGAAACTGCAAACTATTTCAACCACAGGCATCTAACATACAATTTCCATGAGATTATAACTGTTAAGTTATAATAACATATAAAATCCATGCCATGTTCTCTATAAGACTATCTATAGCATGGGTTCCATTCTAGTTAGAAATCAAATATTATGCTGCACAAAGTTGACCAGTGGCCCTCTACATCATTTAGCACTAAAACAGATCCCTATGATTTTCTTTCACTACAAGATTACAAAGAAATACAGGTATAGCCCTGCCGCCCTGGTCTAGAAGACATTTAATAAGCCTGCCTTTCCTTTGGATTGCCTGCAATTATAAGACTTTGTGGAAATTCTAAATTTTTAGCTTAAAATAAACACTGTTCCCCATTTAGTAAGTTTCGTTACAGTGCAGGCTACAGATGGATAGCTGGCGTGTGAAATGTTCCTGCAAAGGAAAAACAATGTAAACAAATACCCTTAGGGAAAGCTTGCAATGATTTTGAGTTCGCTATATTAAGGTAGGTCTACAAGATGGAAGGGGAGCCCTGACTTGTTCTTCACTTTCATGTGAAACAAGATCAGCCATCTCTTCCATGGATCTGATTTTTGAAAAAAAGAATAAAATAAAATGAAAATAAAATCCAGTAATTCCATGCAACTACTGGTGACTTAAAAAAAAAAAAAGTGGAGTACGGAGAAGCTTAACTTATTCATGTATCTATTTGCCAAAATAGCAGACCTCTAATGTGTTCCAAACTCTTGAAAAATAATACGTTATTAATTCTTGTAATGTGTCTGTAGAGTCATGATAATAAATACAACTTTTTATCTTGTTGAGAAGCAAACAAGAAAAAAAATCACAGAAGTTGGTGAGTTAGCCTACAAGTATCTAATAAATCAATGAAAAACCAGGAATGGGAACTAAATGTTTCCTTTTAGGGAAATAGTCACTATATTACTATACTTCCCAAGAAAAGCTGGCAAGCATAGGGCATTTTATTTTCAGTTTCCTTTTGTAAACACTCTTTGTAGTTGACAGAAATAGACCAACATATTCTGTAAATTTTCCATAAACATTCTCTTCATTTTCATGAGCGAAACTCTCATCTTGCCCTGTTTGAAATACTAAGGTTCTGCATTGGTTTCAAATTCTGGAAGTGGGCAAACCCAACAAGACACTGAGTAAATCACACTGAATGAGTTGTGGAATCCCTGCCAGCTCTGTCAGTCCACACCTCGCCATCTGTGTCCTGTGTCACAAGCGGCTCTATTTTTCTACAAGTTGTAAGAAAAGAAAGACACGCATAGGGAAGAGCTCCGAATTGGTGCCTAAGTGTTATGTCCCTTTACAGAGAATCAAAGTGACAAGTTCAGACAAACTGCTTCTCTGCTACACAGCAAGGATCTTAAATTAAATACACATGGTGAGATTGTATAAGGACACATCTTTGTCCTGGTACAAAACGGTCTTCATTTCTCTGTAGCCAGTTGAGGAATAAACACTGTCTTCTCTTCCATGACAGTAAATGTTTCTATGTAGCCCTCGCTTGCTCCTCATTTTCAAAAGAAAACGAGGTTGCCCCTCTCTTCTGCTGACTTGGTTTCGGAAACCAGGAGTGGAGTAGCCTTAGAACGACCACCTGCTGTCACCTTCGATTCCAGTGAGCAAAAGTTACTAGTCTCTCATCATTTTGATTCCCATCTATTGCCATCTTCATCTTCAGAGACAAACGTGTAAGAATCTCACTTAATTTAAACATGTAGCTGCCCCTAAAGTTAGAACAGTAAGAAAACAAAACCATGTTTTCATTAAAACAAAAACTTAAAAGGCTTGCCCACTTTAATCTTTAATTCCTATTGAAATAACCAAAGGCTATAGTTACTCCTTTTTATGGGAAAATAAAAATAGAATATTTATTTGATGAACTGGCTTGAAAAAAGAAAACATAAAAAACTTACAAGAGGTTTTTTAATAAAAAAAGAGAATCGATCACATTTTCTTCGATTTGCAATTCTCTTGGAGCGTTTTAAATAATTCGATTTATATAAACATGTCCCGTGGTCTGTAATAATCGGTAGGATTCATGTATTAAACTCTGAGCTCTGACCACATCCTTCCTCCATGTCCTGATCTATAACTTCAGCTAATGTACCATATTGTCTCATAATGTCCCCACGTCCAGTATTATAAATATGAAAATTGATATGGTATGGGGAAAAGATCAGCAGATACAGGGTCAGATGATATGAAGTTCATGTCCCAGCTTTGTCACTTTCTAGCTTGGTGACCCTGCTGAACACCTCACAGCCTGCTTGCTTGTCAGGAAGCTGAAGGAGCAACAATGTCTTGCCTTCCCAAACCACACTGCACTCGCACTCCATACATAGTGCTTTTTAAGCTTTACAGCTCCGTACAAATTCCTATATGTCCTCATTGCCTCAGACACACCGTACAACGAACAAATGTTCCAAGTCCCCCGTTCTAGGTCCTTCATCCTCAAATAATAAATTCATTTGTCTTATCATTGTTTCAAATTAATTCAGTTTTCCTTTTGTTTTTCTCAGGCTGAACCCTTAGGTTTAAATACGTAATGGAATACTGTGTGTGTATAATAGGACAGCTCTCTGCTCATAATTTGAGGTTATGCAACTTAATGAGCCTTGTTCACTTCAATATTTACCTGGAATTTATAATCTTTTACATTTTACTTCTAATTGAAATAATGGTCATTGCAAATATTAACAATCACATCTATAAAACTTGTAAACTCTACCATCATTAAAAGTAAAAAAAAAAAAGCAAATATGTGTTTTTTTAAAAAGTAATTGAATAACAATTTCCAAGTTGAAAATAAGTAGAAAAGTGAAAAAACAGATGACCGTCGTACATATTTTCCAGAAGTGCATGCCTGCTGCTTCCTCTCACCATCTCCCAGAATGTTAATGGTGACAACAAACATGGCAGACACGCTCGCAGGCAGTTTCTGTCACCCGCCAAAGTATTACACGAATCTGAAGGTTCTGCATTCGTTTCTAAAATGGGTAGCAGAAGCTGTGTCCTACGGCCAACGCTGCCAACTCCAACGGAAGCCCGGGAAGCGCCACCTATTGTTGGGAGTTGGTCATTTCAAACTTCAAAGCCTGGAGAAGGCCCGGGAGCCGCGGAACTGGGTGCCCACGTGGATGGTGGGTTGGGCCCCGCCCCGCAGTGGGCTGATGTCCGTGTTCTGGGCGCGCGTGAGGTGGGCTAGGCTGAGCCGAGAGGTGTGCTAAGTGCATTTTCAACTGGCGATATTTTCAGCGTTCGGTGGGTTTATCAAGACGCGACGCCACCCGTAAGCCGAGGCGCCTCTGCACCGTTTCTAAACGACCGCTCGGAGCGGGGAAACGCCCTGCGGACACAGCAGGGCCCGTGCGCCGGCTAAAAGGCGGCAGCACTGCTCGCTTATCTTTCCATTGATGCTGGGGCTTCCGGTGGGCTCCGAAGGCGCAGTGCTTGTGTGTGCCTT